TATTGTAATCCTGACGGTACATCTATTGTACTAGGGGGGCCCCTGGAGATGGGTAACCCTTTGTATTATGAAGAACCGGGCCCCGAGGACTACCCCAAGACCTGGGATGGACCCTTTGCGAATGGACAATGGGCCCTAAAAGGCCATTACTGGATATGGGGGCAATACGCTTATCGAAGATTGCCTCCAAATTGGTCAGGAATATGTTATATTGGGTACATTAGGCCCTTGTTCTTTCTATTACCCCAAATTCAGGGAAATAAATTAGAAATTAAGGTATATGACGACTTGATTAGAGAGAGGCGGTCCATTGATCCCGCATTGACCGCTGGAAGCTCCCAAACGTGGGGAGCTCAAGAGTGGCCCCCTGAGAGAATTATAAAACACTATGGTCCAGCTACATGGAATCCTAATGAGTGGATCTCAGGGGCAAGGGAGCCCATTTACAACTTGAATCGGATAATTAGGCTGCAAGCCATCTTAGAGATAATAACTAATCAGACGGCTGCAGCTCTTGATCTTTTGGCCGATCAGTCCACTCAGATGAGGAATGTGCTCTACCAGCATCATCTAGTTCTTGATTATTTGCTGGCAGAAGAAGGAGGAATCTGTGCAAAATTAAACAAATCTAATTGCTGTTTATAAATAGATGATAATGGAAAGGCGGTAAAACAGCTAACAAAAGAAATGAGGAAGCTAGCCCATGTCCCGGTCCAAACATGGGGAGGGTGGAATATGGATTGGTTCACGTCCTGGTTACCGCAACTGGGATGGCTCCGAGAAGGCCTTCTTCTCTTTATACTCTTTATTACAACCCTATTAACCCTAGCTTGCTTTGCTCCCTGTGTAGTTACATTAGTCCGACGAATGGCTAATCAAATTATACACCAACAAATGATGGCCCTATACCAGCCAGTAAAGGCTGAGGATTGGGGGCCATAAGGCTCTCGAAATGTTTTTAAGGGGAGAGAACCCTGTTAGAGCAAAGGTCAACTACTCGCCTATTATCCCAGTTGTTCCCCCATGCACGTTTCCCGGATATATGTATAGCAAGACAATCAATCAAGGAGGCCCAACAGCTGTATCCCATTTACCCCTGGAAAGGAATTTCCTGAAGACCCCCAGAAGAATAATCAATCAAGGAGGTCCAACAGATGTATCCCATTTACCCCTAGAAAGGAATTTAAAAATTCCTTAGGTTAGCAAAATGTATGCACGCTAAGTTGTTTGTTACTGGGTATAAAAAGGCCTGCTTTGTGCTTGAAAGGTGTGTCTCTCTCTCTGGCATTAGCCGAGGAGAGCACCCACTCAGCTGACCGATCAATAAAGAACTTGAAGCCGTCTTCTAGACTCCCGTGCCTCCTTGGGGTAATTGGGGAGCTCCAGGGGGAAACGAGCCCATTTGGCTAACAATACAAGCAAAAATGCCTTAAAAACTTAACCTTTCCATGTAAGCAATTAAAACACTTGACACTGAAATGTGGTATAATCTTAAGTAGGAAGAGAGATGGTCCTCCACAATCTCTGTATTAAAATGCAAGCTACATTATGAAAAAGTTTGATAATTGCTCTATACGAAGTGCATTGAATTGTAGTCACATGGAGTGATGAAAGCTAGCCAACTGGTACGTCTTGGGGAGGGGAAATTTTGTCCGAAGACAACAGGGCACACCAGTCCTCTTATAAAAAGTGCTATTGGATGTTTAACATCTATACCAATCAACCTCTCAATTCAATGGGACTCTGGCATTAGACAATGATCTAAGATGGACACAGGAGTACACGAGAGTTTCCATGCCACAGAACTATTTGAATGTGACCTGCAAAGTATTAAAAAAATAAAATGGGGCTTGTACCTTACTTGCTTCCTTATGACCTAAAAAGAATGAAAGTTTTATATTGTTCTTTAAAAGATAAAAAGCAAGCAGGAATATCAAGTTTAGTTTCCCACAATTTTAAGGAAGGACCTGGGGAAAACCCTACAGATGATTGTAACTTCTAACCCATTAATTTAAAGGGCAAGGGAGCTGAATCTTTAACACACGCTATCATAACCACAATACTAATTCGTTGCTGAAGTTAATGATTATTATTATCCAGATCTGTGAGACCAACTGGAGTCACCAAAAATTGTAGATATTTATTATATTAACCATTAATATGGGTTAACAAATTTTGTATCATTGAGAGGAAGTGTGTAAGAATATACCCAGTTAAGGGGCAGATAAAATACTAATTAGCACAACATGATGTCATTTCAAATAGGATACGAAACTGCTGTATGAGTCTCTGCTAAAGTTACACTATTGTTTGATTAAATTTCTGGATTTAACACGTCTAATGATCAGGTGGAGGTTTATTAGTGGACATTAAGTGATTTATCGGAATATAAGGTTGAGAATGTTGATATCAGTATCTAAAGAAGGGATCATATCTGGCTCTCAGAATTTTTAGCAAATGTGATCTAAGACACCATGATTTTTCAGAATGACTACACCTGGATATTATTGGACACTTGAATGGGTCTATGACAGAAGTTATGCTTTTTCATCCAGGACTCTGGAGGAGGCACTATGGACAAGCAACAGAAAGCCTCATGGATAAAGACTATTTCCAAATCCCAAAACAATGCACCAGGACATCGTGTCTTGAGCTAAACACCAAGATGTTGCTGTGGTCACATCACTTCTGAGCCAAACACCCCAGAGAAAGATTAGAATCATAATTTTGGATGTGACCCCTGAAGTACTACTAATCCTTTCTCTCAATGTTCTGCGTGGAGGAAGTCTGCCAAGGAGATCCAGAAATAACACAGAATAAAAAGATGTTTACAGAACTCTGAACTGAGTTTCTACAACCAATTACTGCCAAACGCTAACTTGAGCTGGGGAATACACTTCCATGCCGCTTTTGCCTGGTAAGTAGAGATGCTCATATATGTACTTTCTTTTATTAAGCAACAGCTCAATTAACTGAAGTTAAATGTTTTGCAGAAAGTAAGTCTGTGCTTGTCTATAGCAAAGATAGTTTTTTTGTCAATATCTGCAACTTTGGGTTCCATGTGTGATGTACCCAAGTGAGAGAGTAGAAAGGCATGTCTATGAAAATTGTTACCTGAAAGAGGTAATTCTGAATAATAATATTTTAATAAGTAAACAGTCTACATTCCTGATTACAATTTTGGAATTGTTTGGTTGACGTAGTGCAACCAAACTTTATTAGTGTGAATGACAGGCTAAAAAGAACCTGTCAGAGTTTATGTTGATAACAACATTCCCTTTTGTAAATATGTTAAAATGATTCAATAAGTCACCACTGCATCCAATGATAAGAAGTATTGTGATAAGACATCGATAAATTAAACTAATACAGAAATGTTATTGAGAATTGATTTATTTCCTTATATTCATTTTGCTATAAACACTATTATTTAAACCATCTTTAATTTTTTGTTTTGTAATTTCTAGTAGTATCATATTTGCTTTTGTTTAATAAAATGTATAAATTAATAAGAATTGTCAAGTCTGTACTTCAGCTAAGCCAACTGACGTCTTCAATAATAAATGATACAGGTAGTTTATTTGTTACTTTACTTAACCAACATTTGTTCAGTCCCACATCTACTCTGTTGGTTCTTACAAAGAAGAAACAAAACAAAAGGTTATAAAAGTCTGGCAAAAAACAAAAGCACCCTGCCCTTGTCAACTTATTTTTTGACTCTTGTGACATCACCATTTCACTAGCTCTCCTGTATTCAGAGAATCTTTCTGAATATACAGGACCTGAGGCCTGGTAAAAGCTCTACTGTGGAGGCAGTTATACCAGAACAAAGGTGACTTAAACTGTGGCTAGGTCTACACTACAGCGGGGGTCCGACCTAAGATACGCAACTTCAACTACGTGAATACCGTAGCTGAAGTTGCGTATTTTAGGTCGACTTACCTGGCTGTGAGGACGGGGGAAAGTCGACCGCTGCTGCGCTGCCGTCGACTCCGCTGCCGCCTCTTGCCGCGGTGGATTTCCGGAGTCGACGGCAGAGCGATCAGGGATCGATTTTATCGCGTCTTCACTAGACGCGATAAGTCGATCCCAGAAAATCGATTGCCTGCCGCCGGACCCTCCGGTAAGTGTAGATGTACCCTTAATTCCTGTTCCAGTACAGGAATAACTACGCCAGTATAAAGTACCTTTATACCAATGTAACTGTGTCCACACTAGGAAGGGTTTTACTGCTTTAGCCATAGCTAGTACATGGTACAACTTGCTAGTGTAGACAAGCACTTAATTTTGAATGTTAAATAAATACAAGCCAAATCCCTTCCCCTCACTCTCTCCCTTTTGGGGGAAGCAAATAAAATTCAGGCCTTTGCACTTTTGAAAACAGTGAAATCCTGTGTCTCTTACCGTGGCAAGCCACCCATTTACCACTTTATGCATGGTGCCCCCATTACAGTACCTTCAAGTCACCCTGCACAATTTCACTCTCACAATTTCGAGTGGGGATGATTTGCAGCATAGGAGGGAGCTCCAGGTGCATACAGGGCAGGAGGAAAACACAGGGAACAGATGTGCACGCTGCAGCCTGGGCATCACGCCAGGGGGCGGAGGGAGGGTGCTCCCCCTAAACACACCTGAGGAGCAGGGCAGCACGGGCGCCCCCGTCGCTTCAGGCATCTACTCCCCAGGGGGCGGGGCACAACGCTTCGGAGCTAGGCTGTACCAGGGACTCGGAGGCCAGTGGCTGCCCGCGGGGGGCAGGGCCCGAGTCAGCCGGAAGGAGGGAAGGGGAGGAGCGGGAAGGGGGTTCACCCGCCCGAGAAGGTTTAAGCTCCCCCACGGCCGGCGAGCGAGGCCCCCTGCGTGACCCACGCTGGGAAAGCCCAGGGGAGCAGCCTGGGCCGGGCGCTCCCCTGGGGAGGGGGAGAGGTCGGGCGCCCTCCAGGCCCCCCCCCGAGCAGGGACGCGCTCTGCGCTGCGGGCAGCCTGATCGGCGCACTCACCGGGGACGGGGGGGCAGCAATGAGCCGCTACTCCGGAATCGCCGCACAGCCCTGCGCCGGACGGTTGCAGCAACACTTGACCGCCCCGCAGCGCGCGACCACACGGAAGGGCAGGATTACCGAGTGCGGGGCACGTCAGGGTGCGCCGCCGGCCAATCAGGGCCTAGCGACCGCCTGGAGCGGACCCCAGCGCCTCCGAGCCTGCGCCAAGCTCGTCCCGCTCAGGTGGCGGCCGGGACTCCCGCAGCGTAGGGAGAGAAGGTTCCGCAGACCTCAGCTCTTACCTCAGCGGAGAGAGAGGGCGGGAACTCCCTGCCAACTTTCAGGCAGAAAATAAACACCCTGACTTTTGCAATAATCCCAAAATCAAGCTAATCCCATTTCAAAACAAGCCAGTCCCTAAGAACCCCAAGGCTCTTATGTGACTAGATCCCCACCAGCGTGCAGTCTGGGACTGTGGTGGGCCTGCTGTGCACCCCGACTCTCTCCCCTGCTTGCCCCCACTTGCTGGAAGCCGATAAAAAAAAAAAAAAAGCAACAAGCTACAAACCAAAAACTAGCCAACAAGCAACTCACAAACCCATTAAGCCAAAACCAAGCCCAATTTCTGTGGTTTTTTCCCACAAGTTTGGCATGTCTGCTCCCTGTGCCTTTGCATGGGAGAGCAGCTTTGGGCGTGCCTCGTGGAGAGCAAGCTTCTGGCCCTGGGCCCTCCTTCCTGAGGGTTCAAGCTTCTCCCTATGCTGAAGGGTTGTAATGTTGCTGTGTACCTTCAAAATCTCACTTTATTCAGCCATGCACCTGGCTCCCCTGTAGGTCTCCCCGTAATGCACCCGCTGAATGTGTGTGGGGTGCAGATCAGGCCTGCACTAAGGCACTGCAGTGTACTGGCCCACCAGTGTGCAGCATTGGGCCCACGATATGAGCGAAACAAGGCGGATGAGGTAATATCTTCTATTGGAGGGACGAACTTCGAGAGAGAGAGAGAAGCTTTCAAGCTTACATACAGCTCTGCTTCAGGCCTTCCTCATCTTTCCCCAGATCTAAAGAAGAGCTCAGTGTGGCTCAAAAGTTTGTCTCTTTCACCAACAGAAGTTGGTTCAATAAAAGATACTACTTCTTCCACCTTGTCTCTCAAAGTTATGGGCTCATTTAAAAATCGAAGGACAGGGCCTATGTCCAAGAGTGACGTTTACAGTAGAATCTCAGACTTATGAACTGGCCAGTTAACTACACACCTCATTACGAATCAGAAGTACGCAATCAAGCAGCAGCAGAGACAACAAAAAAAATGTATAGTACTGTGTTAAACGTAAACTACTAAAAAAATAGAGGGAAAGTTTTTAAAAAATTATTTACAAAGTAAGAAAACTTTCTGTGCTTGTTTCGTTCAAATTAAGATGGTTAAAAACAGCATTTTCCTCTGCGTAGTATAATTTCAAAGCTGTTTTAAAATTTCAAAGTCGATGTTCAGTTGTAAACTTTTGAAAGAACAACAAAAATGTTTTATTCAGAGTTATGAACATTTCAGAGTTACGAACAACCTCCATTCCTGAGGCATTCGTAACTCTGAGATTCTACTGTATATAGGCAATGTTTTTGTTGTTCTTATTGTTATTTTTAAGTGCCTCCCTTTTCCTACCAGCAAAAAAGTGTCTTGAGCAATAATGGCTTGAGCAATAATCATTCACTGGTAATGTTGCAAACACTAGGTGGACAAATATAGCAGCCATTACGTTATCTGCAGTAGAAGTTCTATGCAAAGCTTAAAACTAGGGCTGTCAAGCGATAAAAAAAATTAATTGTGATTAATGGCACTGTTAATAATAGAATACCATTTATTTAAATATTTTTGGATGTTTTCTACATTTTCAAATATATTGATTTCAAATACAATACAGAATACAAAGTGTACAGTGGTCACTTTATATTTATTTTTGATTACAAATATTTGCACTGTAAAAAACACAAGAAATAGTATTTTTCAATTCACCTAATACAAGTACTGTAGTGCAATGTATTTATCCTGAAAGTTGAACTTACAAATGTAGAATTATGTACAGAAAATAACTGCATTCAAAAATAAAACAATGTAAAACTTTAGAGCCTACAAGTCTACTCAGTCCTACTTCAGCCAATTGCTCAGACAAACTAGTTTGCTTACAATTTGCAGGAGATAATGCTGCCCGCTTCTTGTTTACAATGTCACCTGAAAGTGCGAACAGGCTTTCACATGGCACTCTTGTAGCTGGCATCACAAGATATTTACATGCCACATGCACTAAAGATTCATAGGCCCTTCATGCTTCAACCACCATTCCAGAGGACATGCGTCCATGCTGATGACAGGTTCTGCTCGATAACAATCCAAAGCAGTGCAGACCGACGCATGTTCATTTTCATTATCTGAGTCAGATGCCACCAGCAGAAGGTTAATTTTCTTTTTTGGTGGTTCTGTAAGGATTTTTCTTTTTCAGTCCTATCTGATCAGAAGACTTCGGGGAGCCTTACAGTTTACCTCCCACCGAGTCCCCCTTTTAGCCCATCTATCAGAGCTGGTTCCAATAAACACCACACATAAATGAACCACAATACTTTATTTACTAAAGGGAAGGGAAAGGAGGGAAGAGGGATGGATTAATGACTCTGGAGATTTGGAATTAAATACATACACACACACATACACTTAATGATACAAAGATGTTCTTGTACCTTTTCCAGGGGCTGCCGATGGAGAGGCTTCAGGATCCGAATCACCGAGATCAGCCACGGACATCAACGGTGGATGGCAGATGGAACAGACGGGTACATAGCCCTATCTTAACCCCCACCCTATCCTGCTTTGCGTCGTCTATGAGTGTGAGTTTAAACTAACTAATCGGACCAGGTCCATGTGTGCGAGTTTGCTTTCCCAAAATAAAATAACCAATTAACCCAAAACACTTACTGAGTGACTACTGCAGGCCAGTAGTCAGTGTGGAAAAGTATACCACACCGCCGAGAGAGAGTCTGGGACCTTTTAGCTCCAACCACTCCAAACTCCAAACAGCTCAAAAGGAACCCCTGGCTCCTCCCTTCATCCACCTGTATAGGGGCTTGTTGCCTAGCAACAGCAGGTTCCCGCTCTCCCTGTTTCCCGCCTTTTCTTGGTGTGGGGGAACAAGAACCTGACACAAAATGGAGGTTACCTTGTCCTTTTGCCAAATCAAGATGGCCTTTCAATTTACAAACCTTAACTAACAGTTCGGGTTCTGTAGTTTCCACATCGGAGTGTTGCTCTTTTAAGACTTCTGAAAGCATGCTCCACACCTCGTCCCTCTCAGAGTTTGGATGGCACTTCAGATTCTTAAACCTTGGGTCGAGTGCTGTAGCTATTTTTAGAAATCTCACATTGGTACCTTCTTTGCATTTTGTCAGATGTGCTGGGTCATCATCCAAGACTGCTATAACATGAAATATATGGCAGAATGCAGGTAAAACAGAACAGGAGGCATACAATTCTCACCCAAGGAGTTCAGTCACAAATTTAATTAACAAATTTTTTTAATGAGCATAATCAGCATGGAAGCATGTCCTCTGGAATGGTGGCCGAAGCATGAAGGAGCATACGATATCTGGCAAGTAAATACCTTGCAATGCCAGCTATAAAAATGCCATGCAAATGCCTATTCCCGCTTCCAGGTGACACTGTAAATAACAAGCAGGCAGCAGTATCTCCCGTAAATGTAAACAAACCTGTTTGTCTTGGCGATTGGCTGAACAAGAAGTAGCACTGAGTGGACTTTAAGGCGCTAAAGTTTTACGTTGTTTTGTTTTTGAGTGAAGTTATGTAACAAAAAAAAATCTACATTTGTAAGTTACACTTTCACGATAAAGAGATTGCACTACAGTACTTGTATGAGGTGAATTGAAAACTACTATATCTTTTGTTTATCATTTTAAGTGCAAATATTTGTAATAAAAAATAATATTAAGTGAGCACTTTGTATTCTGTGTTGTAATAGAAATCAATATATTTGAAAATGTAGAAAAACATCCAAAAATATTTAATACATTTCAATTGGTATTCTATTGTTTAACAGTGCGATTAATCACGATTAATTTTTTTGAGTTAATCGTGTGAGTTAACTGCGATTAATCAACAGCCTCACTTAAAACATAGTAGTCGCTAAGGCTATGGCTACACCAGAGAGCTTACAGCGGCACAACTACACCGCTGCAGCTGTGCCACTGTAAACTCTCTACTCTAGCTGTTCTAAGCCGACAGGAGAGAGTTCTCCCATTGGCTTAACTACTCCAGCCCCAGCGAGAGGTGGTAGCTATGTCAGCAGGAGAAGTTCTCCCACTGACATAACACTGTCCACATCTGCACTTATGTCGGTGTAACTTATGTCGTTCAGAGGGGTGGTTTATTCACATCCCTGATCGCCATAAGTTATGCCGTCATAAGCAATAGTGTAGACATAGCCTAACTTGCACATGAGCAACGATTAGAAAAAGAAGCTGTGCTTAAGGCTCGGTCTACACTACAAACTTACATTAGTATAACTACGACATTCTTGTGAAAAATCCACACCCTTGAGTGACACAGTTCTACCGACCTCACCCCCAGCGTAGACAGTACTATGTCAAGAGGAGAGCTTCTCCCACCAACATAGCTACTGCCTCTCACAGAGGTGGAATAACTATGCTGACAAGAGAAGCTCTCCCATTGGCATAGTATCATCTTCACTAAAGCACTACAGCAGCGCAGCTGTGTTACTGCAGCTTTTTAAATGTAGACCTGCCCTAAGTCTTTCTGCCTCAGATACTGCAGTACTATAAAACATTTATACTAAGCATATTATTAAGGTCTATCCGAAAAGTAAATATCACTGAATGAATTGGGTTGAAATTACATATCAGAGGAGAAAGTGTAAATTCATATAGATTTAAATAATAACAATTAAAAAAAACTGTTGCTGTTCAGTAGATTTCACTCTCACTTCACCGCACTTACTGAGCCAAAACAATTTGCTGGTATTTGTCTTTGCTGTAGTAACATACAAAGATAAGAACACAGCTGTAAATAATTAACTCCCTAAAGACTGGCTGAACAGCACACTGAAGTATTGAAGAACAGCTTGACTTTTTACTTTTCAGAAAGTAAAATACATCTTTGCATCTTGTCACATGCCACTATCA